GGTTTCTAAGCCTCTGCCTGACTTCCGATTTTTGCTGTTTCTCTTTCACTCACACATTAGCCCCTGGTTGTATTTTATATCCATCTGGCTTAGACCTTCCCGACTCCAATGGAACTAATGTCCTTAATGCTCCCGGCCCCTGGCCCCTGGCCCCCTTGGGTGCTTGGCCCTAGGCCTGCCCATCTTTAGCACATAGGTGAAATTTGCTGAGTTCCCCAGTTTGGGAATGTTACATGTGGGTGTAAAAGGAACTAATTACATATTCCTACTTAATCTGTCTCTCTCCAAGTGAGATGATTTCCTTAAAGTCAAGTGCTTTCATCCGCATTTTCACAGAACAATGCCAAAAGCCTCAGGAAATGATTAAAAGGCAATTTATCTTCACGTTATCCATCACTGATGTACATATATATTTTAAAAGGAAAGTTGTGTACTAAAATGAGTACTTACTAAGAACACCCAATTCACTTAAAATGTTGAAAAAAAATTATTCTCCTTCGACTATCCCCTCGTGGCTGAGTAGCAACCCTCTTATTAAGCTCTTGGTGCTCTCTCAGCACCGCCTCCCAGCAGCCTTTGCTGACTTCTCCACCCCCTACAAGCTCCCCAGAAAACTGCTTCTTCAGAGATAATCTTTCCTTTGAGATAGAGGCCACTCGAGGTCAGCTCCTTCTATATATCTGTGTATTTACATCACCCTTTCTTCCTTCCAAAGAAGCAGGGAAACTAGAAAGAACACCTCTGCTCATGTTCTCATTCCTGCACCTTTGTCTCCAGTGGAAACAAAAGTGGTCTACCACTCCCACTCCAACCGCCCCCAGCTCAAGGGTTTCTCTCCCTGGTCAATCACAAAGAGTGGGTTCAGCCCTGGTCAATCACAAAGAGTGGGTTCAGACTGGTTGAGTGTCGTCCCATGCATAGAAAGGTCGCAGGTTCGATTCCTGGTCAGGGCGCATGCCCAGGTTGCTGCCTTGATCACCGGTTGTGGTGCATGTAGGAGGCAGCCGATCAATGTTTCTCTCTCCCTCTCTCCCTCTCCCTTTTTCTCTCTCTTAAAAAAAAAAAATCAATAAGAACATATTACAAAAAAAAAAAAAAAAAAAAAAAAAAAAAAAAAAAAAAAAAGAGTGGGTTCCTAAAGGACTATCAGGATTTAGAGTTGTTACAGACTCTCAAAGGTCTCCATAACAACAATAATAGAGACAAGAACAGCTGGCAGCGCCAGCCCCATCGCCTCTTGGCCGTGGGCACCCTTTCCGTTTCGCCTCCTCTCGCAGCACGCACCCTCCGCCAGCCAACTGTGAGTTTGGGGGTGAGCAGCAGAATGGCTCTTGAGCACAAAAATGGCTCTAACGTCGACTGCGGCTGCTCTTTCTCCCTCTGCCTCGCACAGTGAAGAGGCTTTCCCCTATCTCGAACACATCCGGGCTTGACCCTTCTGCTGTTCTAGGGCCCCGTCCTAGAGCTGGGCTGTTGCAAGTTGTCAGTGTCGGCTCAGGAAAGTCCCACTTTGGCCTGCGGGTGGAGAAGCTAGGGAAGGCGGTAGAGGTAGAGGACCGGGGGTAGACAAGTTAAGGGTGCCGCCGGTAGTCAGTTACAGGAGAGCCAACTGGGGATACTAGAGGCTGAAGCAAACAGAGGTGAGAGGCCAGATCCATGGAGCAGTCTGGTCTCAATACCAACAGGAACCACCGCCAGGTGCTCCTGATTATCTCGCCCTCCCTGCAAGGCCCGGGCTTGACATGCCGGGATTAGTTCCATGCTTTTGGCTGGAGGCAGAGAAGCTGCCTCATTTACTAAGGCCTTTCTGTTGTCAGCACCTTGTCATCGGTCTTCTACTCAACTGAATCTTCAGATTTCCTGATTCCTGGGTATGGCCTTGCACCACTGGCGGCCCATCTTATTCTGTCCCCTGATACTTGTGTCTTTTTGTCTTTGATTATCAAAGCCAAAATTAAGACAACATTGGGGTGGACCTAAGTATCCCCTGGAGTCTGGGCTCAGAGTTCTAGTAAGAACTAGGATCCAGAAGGTACCATGCAAGTATCCTCAAATATGAGGAAGGAGCAGATAATGAGGGATGCTAGGTAAGAAGTGGGGGTGAGGCCAGCCAAGAGGACTCAAATTGCAAGATGGGGCCTCATCTCGTTGGGACATCTAAACTACTGTGGGAGGCAGAGGAAGCGTAAGAATGCCCATTCTACAGCTGAGGTAGAAGAGCGGATGGCTTCCTCCTCAAGGGTCTGGGCTATTTAAGTAGGGGAACCAGTATGGAGACTGAGCTCTCATGAGCAGTGTTCAAGAGTTAAGCCTGAACTACAAGTATCTCTTTAAATTACCCAACTTCTGAGAACCTATGGGCTTCTCTCCAATAACAAACTTGGATGAGCCTGACAGATGAGGGACTTTCAGTAAGGAGCTAATGGTTCTATTTTCAGGCTCCGAGAGAATTTACCCAGAAAACTCTGTTTGAAAGTCTAAAAATTCTTTGGCAGCATCCTTCTAACCTCCTCCTTAGTCCTACCATATTATTTGCATACCACTTTGTCAGCGTTTTCCCCTGTCCCCCCACCACGGCCTCACCCCACAGCATTTCTGAGACACGTGATAGATTGCAGGCAGATGGGGACCAAGCTAATCCCTTTTCATGCCCATCTATAAGTCACTTGTTTGTCTTGCTGAAAAATGACTAGTAAACATACTACCGTGAAAATGACAAGTAGAGACAACTACATGTGTTTTTAAGAAAAGGCCTACTGAGATGCCTTTTACTTATCAGAACAGAGGCTACCCAGGCTGGATTCTGGAACTTTACACAGTTGGACTAAGGACCAACCTATTGCCCCAGAGCAGAAGATTGCCAGGCCAGTCACAGGAGCCAGTTAGAATTATTAATAGCGTCACTGTCAGGGCATGCTTATATTATCTCATTTAAATCTTTGCATTTTAAGCCTGGTTCTCCTCTTTAATGAAAGAATTGTATCTGTTTAAAGCAAGCTTTTTATCTGAATTATTTAAGTTGCCCGTTTCTGTTGGCTTTGAACAATGGAAACAACCCACCACATTGCCTATGCCTTAATCCATTGTACATTCCTGGTGTGTGCGCCATTGTATTTCTCTCTATTAAATGATTTTAATAAAGTGAAAATTCTTGCACTGTGGTTCCACTGTGCTCTGTTTACCTCCCTGTTTGCGGAGATGAGTTCTAGCTAATATTCAACAGGAGGAAAGTGGCGCGAAGAGTTGCCTACAGTTCAACATAAAGTAAAATACCAAGTCCCTTTGCTCCATCACTAGATAGAGTAAAACACTTAAAGCATTATTTCAAAAAGTGTGTTTTTGTAGTTGCTGGGGTGTGGGGAGTGCATGAGGAGAGGAGAGAGTGGTGGTAGCAAAGTCTGAACTTTCAGGGATTTGGAGATGTTGGTCTCAAAATGGAATTTATCCTCAGATCCCAAGATTATAGATTTCCTTCCAAACTGCATTCCCTACATGGTTTAGAGAACAGTTGAAAAAGAAATTGCTCTCCATATTTTGATTGACATGAAAAACACTGTGGAAATAGTTTGGAACTTGATCTCTTCGAGGGAAGGACGGTAACCAAACTAGAGCTCTTGCCTGCAGCCTTTCTCTCACACTTACTCAGAACTGTTCCAGGAAAAGAAATTCACAGGGAATTCTGTTATCATATATCACTTCTGGAAGGAGAGAGAGGCATTCTCGAGAAAATTATCCCCTAACTTCTAAATACAAAGGGAAAAGATGATTTAATGAATCTCAACACAGAACCATCTCTCTCCGTAGGATAAAATCAAACTGGGCCAGTCGTTTGGAGCTGGAAATCTTGACTATCCAGATTGATTTTAAAAATTATCATATTTGCCCTCCTTGCCGCATGCCCCCTAGTCTTCACTTCAGTGCTAGTCCTGCCTGTCTGGTTTTGTCAAACACAGTAGAAAGACTGTACTATTTCAGCTTACAAGTCCATCTGCATAGCCTTGTTAACAGGAGGGATCTAAGGAGACCAAGTACTTCTTTTGACCATGTATTGCTGCAGCACTAAAGCCCCCCCACCCCTTACAATCAACTCTTTTTAAAAGGAATTCCAGGCTACTACCGACCAGCTGCCTTGTACTACTGTTGGAGATGCCCAAATATGTCTGACTGTCTTGAAATGAGACTGTGCCCTCCTTTTCTGGAACACACTTGTAACCTACAACTTTTCAAATAATTGAGTCACACTCGGGCACACTTTCAAACAGAAAATAAGATTTCTCAAGAAATAGTTTGGTGGGATGTTAAAAGTGATTTCTAAAAACACACCCACCACTACATGCATTCTCTCATTATTAGGTTTTATAGGAAACAGATCGTGGTAGGCATCTTCTGTCTTAGCAAATATCAGATTGGTTACATTAACCCAGCCAGTGCTCAACGCTAGTGCTCTTATACTTCTGACCGTCTTTCCTGGCAGCTCTAGAAGTCTAGTCTCCAATATGCGTAGCAGAAGTAAATGTAAATGCCTTTGGTTAAAAAGCATCACTTTTTGGCTTCTCATCAACCTAAAAAGTTGTCGTTAAAAGCAAAACCTCTTTAAATCCCTGGTAATAAAAGATGCAGGAGGGACGACGGTGTGGGCAGACTGGCACAGCAGGCTACTGACACCGGCGTATGGCGATCAGGTAGAGCCCCCATCGCACTCCTCCTAAACAAAAGGCTACTCTCCTCAAAGTGGCCGGGGGTCCCTGCACATACGCCTCCATCCGATCTCTCCCCTCGTCCCAGCTCAAAGAACAAAACTTGAAATCTCATCCTGTTTGTCTTCCGGGCACATCTGCAGGGCAGCGAGGCGCAGTCTGGCTCTGAGACTTTGCATGGCTTATTGGCTTTTACAGTCTTGCATCTCCGGCTACCTTGGCCAGGAATGTTGAGTGAAACCCGGAGGGAGAAAGTCCCCAGCCTCTCTGGAAGAGATTAAAAGAAAGTCGTCTGTGCCTTACCTCATAGGCTGCAACTTCTTCCCGGGGACTAGGTCGGAGAGGAAGGACCGATTTCTTTCAGCAGGAGCACAGCGAGAGGGCAGGCAGGCAGGCAGCGTAACACACACTGCTCTATTCAATAAAACTGCAGCCCGCCCTTCCTTGGCCCCTCCCAGAAGTCCGTGCTAAGTGAACACACATCCCCTGTGTTTACAGTCGGCAGTCAGTGGTATGCATTGTCCTGTAGGTTTTTCTAATAGGCAGCCAATGACGACACCTCGGCCGAGGTGGATGTAGCCTGCCCGTGGAGATGCCTGTCATTCCCTAGGCATGCTCAGGAAATCACTCATCAGAAAAACCAAGACCTAAAAAGCTCAGAAACTGCGTGCAGGCTGCCAAAACCAGCCTGCTCCATGCCCTTTTTTGGCTATCCTTAGCAGGGCCTCTGGAAGTGCATCCATTGTCAGGAACAATCATAAGAAATGTTAATCTTGGAGAGAGAGGCTGTCTTGTAGAACACAAATGGAACTTTAAAAAGAAAGCACAGTCGATGAAGCTAAAAGTTAACAGCCCCTAAGTTTATTGCGGGTGGAGGT